AGTTACGGGCTATGGGCCATCGCTTGACCATTCAAGCTGCTCATATACTGATGCTCTGAAGACTTCACTATTCCTTTATTCGTTTGTTCATTTAATGAAAGCACCAGTCCTCTCTTAAGGCCGGATGCCATTCTGAAGTCTGGGTTGAAAACAAACGGAGCACGACTTCTGTTCTCGGAATATACACAATTAAAGTTCAAGGAAAATGTCTCCCAGTGTAGGCAGCACTAACAGTTAGTGAGCATTCTTCCGAGACTATACAATAGGAAGGGCTGTGCTACAGTTTTAGTTAAAGAAGAAAAGCTGTTGTTGGTGCGTAAAGCAAAGTTTCAGTGTATTTATGTGTGTTGTTCATGAAGAAAAGTAAGACTGCAGACATCTGCCATTGGATTCGTCCTCTATGTACTCTAATGCCGAAATAGAAAATATGCGTGGTAGGTGCTTACTTTGACTATTTTGCAATCATCTTGCATGGTATCTATATATGGAACTATTAGCAAATTTGAACAATACTGTTTGGCTTGTACAAATGTATAAATGGGGCTCCATCACTGTAGCACACAGTTGACTGTAGTGCTGGTTGGTCATTATACTGTTATTTTCTTTTTGAATGGATATTATACAATATTTATTAGAGTTATTCTTATACACTGACTATGTTGGAATATTATACAGGCTCAGAGAAATGTTACCTTTTGAATTAAAAAAGACATTTAAAACATGTGAAGTATTTCTTTATAGTGTTTTAAATATTCATATAAACCCAAGACAGATTGTTTTGTAAAAGGGCTTAATTTATTGATAAGTAAATATACGTCAAAACATTCTAATTACATTAATAGCAATAATAGTGATATTCAGGTAAGTTTTACAAAGGTTCTCCAGGAAGACAATTATAATGATTCACAACTCTGATTACTTCTATTAGGCTTCATTCACTTACTATCTCTTTGTTTAACGAACCCTCTTGTAGCCTTTTAATGAGGGGTAGGCATTACAAAGTGCCCTAGAACTAATGATATACTTGATAACTATCTATTGCATCAGTGTTGGTTCTTCCAGGACTTCATCTCCAGGCTCTTCTGGGTCAGAGACAGTTGCCAGAATACACTGTGTCTCACTCAAGACAGGAAAGATGGGCATTGGAACAAAACTCACCACTGCTCTGCCTTCTGCTTGATGAGTGGACTCTTACCCGAGGAGCAAGAATGGTGAAGCCCAGCAGACAGGAGTTCATTAAGTGCCTGCCTGATGCTGATGTAGCAAAGGCTTTGCTTGTTGGTTGAGTGCTCTCTGGATCATTTTCCATCTTAGGTGACATCAGGGCACAGGAGCCATCAAAGTTCACACAAGGAACTTTTAGCCACCTGGGGAAGATCAACCCCTTAGCTGCTTTCAACGACCTGGAAGGTGGTTCTGGACCCTCCAGTGATGGTGGCAAGCCAGGCGCTCTCTCAGACTTTATCATGTATCTGTCTGTTTTGTATCTGGTACATCTTTCAGCTATGTCATTCGCAGCCTGCCAACACACTTGAAAATTCCTAATTTAAAAGCAACCCCATAACCCTGAACCTTCCCTCATCCCTCTTTATTGGTGATTGAACAGAGCAGCAGCTCACGGGTCTCCACTCCTCCCACTCATGTCCACTGTGGTCCGGCTGTCAGACTCAGGCGTCTGCCCCTGTGAAGGCTTCTAAGAAGCATTTTCCAGTCCGTATCACACCAGCCACCTCACTGCATGTGACCTCTGCCTTCCGTTTCCCGCTTTAGTTTCCTCCTGTTGGTTTTTGTCACCCTCCTCATTGATGTTTCTCTAAATTACCTCTCAGTCTGTTCTCATTTCTCCTCTTGTCTGTTCCCTTTGCACAATGGAGTGTTAGTCATAGACAAAAATGAAATCACATCATTTGTACAGAAATAGGTGGAATAAAAACCATTATGTTACATGGAATCAGACAAACTCCAAATTTAAAAATTGAATGTTTTCCTCATACAGGAAACCTAAAAATGCCTACATGTGTTTAGGGCTTGTATCTGGATGTCCTCCCAAAGACTCCAGGAGTCACAGGTGGAGCTTTTTGGAAGTTCCTGGCTGTGGGATCTAGGCTGAGATGCCGGGTTTAAGGGTGTGATGCTGGGACTCAGGGTGCATGATTACTAAATTAGTCCAATAATCCATTTAGCAGAGTCTTGGCAAGGGAAGGCCCACCCTGAGTGCTCATGGTGGGTGGTCTAGAAGGGATAAAAGGAAGGGGCAGATGGTGCTTGCTGCCCAAAGCCTTCTGCTGGCCACACTGTGAGCTGCTTGTCTTCTGTGGTTCTTTTTGCCATACTGCTCTACCCTGGAGGTAGCCGACTGTAGGCTGAAACCTTTACAAACTGTGGCCTAAATAAACCTTTCCTCCTCTAACTTGGGAGGTGGGGTATTGGCCTGAGCAAGAAGAAAAACTAAGGCACTAACATATTTAGATACATAAGATAAAGACAAGCTGATAAGAAACCAGGAGTTAGACTTCTGGAGATGGGGTAGGGATCAACAACGGGAGGGGGAGAAAGCACGAAGGAATAATGGGGTTGAAACTGATTAGAATATGTTAAACCCATGTATCAGCTTCCAAAAATAAACTCCACCACCATTTTATTACCATGCATTAGCAAAGTATCCAAAAGCATCAAAAATATACTGGATTTCTTTTATGACTTTGTCTTCTCTTTCTCTATTTCCTTCCCAATGGTAGTAACTGTTCTCACAGTTTTAAATACGGCTCACATAGCCACAGCTGCCAGTTTCATGTTTCTAACCTGATAAGTTCCAAGTCCATTTAGTCAGGTGCCTACTCAGCAATGAGATGCAAGTATCTCAGCGATATCTCAGACTTTGCATGCCAAGTACCGACACTGTGATAATCTTGACACTCTGATACTAATCTTAGTAAAAGGGAACTCCATCCCCAAGTTGGTCAGGGAGAAAATGAGTCCTTCACAGCACCCATGCTCTAATTCCCATCGCCAGGTAATCAGAAAAGCCTTGGAGTTGATACCAAAAGTATTTTAATCCCTCAGCTCACCCCTCCCTGAAGCCTCATTCCAGGTTTTCTCCAGCTGTTAACACCACTCCTGCCAGCCAAGCTGTTCTTCACTCAGTCTGTCCCTCAGATATCAGACAGCTCGAGATTTCGTATTTGAATGAGGCTTATCACTTAGTTGCTTTAACTCCATTATACACGTTCTACTTCATCACTGGCACAATGGATTTATCTTCCATAGATAATCGTACATTGCATTACTACAGGACAATGAAGGTAAATCAGTAATGTGATCGGTATCTACGTAGATCTAAGAAATATCCTGCTTCTTTTGCTGAGTGAGATAAGCTAAAGGAAAAGCAGCCCTTAGTTTATAATTTCATTCAAATAATACTACGAGAGAAGCAAACAGATGGTGGTGAGGATAAGCAGTGAGGTCACAGGTGGGTGAGTAATCACTGGGGAGGATTAGACTCCCAGTGCACTGGGCAGCTCCCTGCAGGTTTTGACATGGTGAAAATTCCCTGAACTGTACAGTTAGAATTTGCTCACTTTTCTTTATGTAGATTATATCTCAATATAAATATTACTTTGAAAACCAAATACTGTTTGGGTCTTCCATTTTTTTTTTTGTCGTTGTTACTACTAGGATGTTAAATCTAAGACATGAAATGGCAACATTTCCTGCTGGGTAATTGTTTATTTAGAAAAATACCTAATTATGCATTCATCTGATATACTGCTATGATTTCAGAAAGCCTTGACTAATACAAAAACTATGTGTTCTGAATATATAATACCCTGTTGTCAGAAAAGCAAACATCCAGAGCTATGATTAAATAATGTTAATACAACTATGGTAAAGAAAAATTTGAAACATAAACAAGTCTACAAATACAGTAGTACAAGTACTGTTCTGTTATTACATTGGCAGGAAGACAAACATTCCTCTGGGTGGGAAAGGAGCAGAGCGGAGCCATGAGAATCCATGTTTCACCAAACCAGAATTGGAAAAGTGACCTTGTAACTGTGAGATTACTCGGGGAGTACTCAGGGTTGGGATTTTGATCTCAGGTGTCTATAAAAGAGCTGTGACACTGATTTCAGTTTTAGAACCTGGGTGTTGCTAGTATACACATTTCATATTTCTCATTTCATGATCTATTTTTTGAGAAATACAATAACATACATTTATGGATGAAAACTATCAAAACCAGGAAATAGGCCATATTGTGTTTGTAATAACACACAATAGGTTGGTTTTGAATTTGCAACACAAAATACTATTTTTTGAAACTTCTTAATCAGACATAACCAAGATGAAATAGAAAGCTGAAACAACTTAAGAGGTATTATGTTATAGGATTATCTTCTTTCAGTTTGAAAGTCATGTTAACTTTAGCTGAAAACTAGACTGAACTTAAACACTAAAGTCTATCCTTTGAGTATATAATATGAAAATTACTAATCCAATCCATCAGTTCATTAAATTCATAAATCATTAGCTACTATCAAAACTTGGTTTTACTAAATCCTTAGGAATTCTATACATTAATATTAGCACCCATGCTCATATTCATTAGCACCCAGGCTACATATTCATAGACTGTACTTATTTATATTCATACCTATAAAATTACAATTTCATACATTATAGATTTTTTGTTTTGTCATCTTTATTACTGGAATAAAAGATGCTAAATTTCTCCAGTAATATCGCTTCCCTTTTGTTCCTTCTTTATTATTTTTCATAAAATTTTATGATAACTTTAGCAGAAAATCTTGATTTTTCTCTACAGACTTAGACAAGCAAGCATCTTCCTGAGATATATTTGCATACAGCTGTTAGTAAGTAACATTTTGTAATATTTTAATGTTCCCAATGAGGGAAACGTATCTAAAACAAATAGTTTCATTACCAGGCTAAAAACAACATCATTTTTCTATTCTCAAATGATTACCTCTGCTTTACAGCCAGTGATAAACACCAGCCCAGGATGGGTCTTGGATGGAGTTGGGCAGATGGATGTGTCAGGAAGACGTGAGCACCGAGCACGACCCCTTCAAATTCCATTTCATGACTCACTTCATGTTTGAAGCTGAATTTGCATGAAAATTAAATTCATAAATTCAGTCACAGCTTTGATCAGGAATTTTGTGGTTGTTATTGTTCTTTTTGAATTGTCATAAAAGTCATGGCAGATGGTGACGTTTCTTGAAGTGTCTGTCGATACTCATCTCCTTTCTTCTCTCACCACTGCACAATAGTAGAAAAGCTTTAGTACCTTCATAGAAGCAGGCCATCTTCCCACTGGAATTATCCTCATTCATTGCTTACATGAAAATAGAAAAGCTATAAACTCTGCCCCTTTGATTCCTAGTCCACAGACCAATGATTTTTCCATATACCAGTTTGGTCATCAAGAAATTAGCACTAAAATCTTGGAAACCCTGAAATTAATTGCAAAATCTGCTATAGAAACTATTGAGAAAAAATAAGGTAATTTACATGCACACACATACATACTCGAGCATATATGTAATTAGGCTACATATTCATAGACTGTACTTAGTTATATTCATACCTATATATGCTTTAAGAAAATTATATCTATATATGCCTTAAGAACTTTAAGGCATTGCTTAGCTATTGCTATATATTACTTTTACATATGATATATTTTATTTACATGTGTCCCTCTAGATGATTTCATGATTAACTAAAGCAGATGTATTACCTATGACCATGGAATCTGAAAACCAATAGACATTTGAATACTACAGCTTCCACTTAACAGCTAGCTATTGGAAGATAGAGAGATAGATAGATAGATAGATAGATAGATAGATAGATAGATGATAGGCACATGTATCCTCTCTCATGTATATATATATATATAAAACATATACATATTCTCTTATATATATATATTCTCTTTCATATATATGTACATATACATATTCTCATATGTACACATACATGTATATGTATGTATATATGGGGGAGGAGAGCAAGGGAAAAGAGTGTCACAAATGCTTCCCATTGGCCGTGCCTGATGCATGGCAGTTCAGATGATTTCTTCTAGTTTTCAAAATTTCCCATGCATCCGTGTACACACAACAGTCTGTACCAGGGGTGGGGAACATACGCCATACCAGGCATGCTGTTGTGGACTATTTTTATGATTGAAAGCTGGAAGAACTTCGCTGTCACTGGCCTATACCATGGATGAGGCACTGGCTGACTGCCTCATTCTCTTCAGAATCTGATTCATACACAGCTCCTGTGGCTGGTAGGCCAGTTACAGATGAAAGCACAAGCGCTTAGCAGGGCAGAACGGGCTGCCCAGCATCTGCTGACAGTGCTGACAGTGGTCTAACCCACAGCATCACCAGGCAGGCGAGAAGTGATTTCAATTTAAGCCATGTGAAGGTTTCTAATTTAAGGAACGCTACTGTGCTTGTCTCCCTGTCCCCATCTCTAAAATTAGCTTCCTTCTTACAGCATCTATTTCCCCAGTGTTAAGATACAATTTTATGTGGCATAAACATTTCTAATCTGATATTTTTATTCAAAACTGTATAATAAAGCATGAAGTTATATAAAGATTCTTAGTTTTAGTTCTGCCTTTGCCTGATTTAAGATACAAACAATAGAAGATTTATAAACTATGCACAGATCTATAAACTACAGACATATTTTTAAATGGTGACTGGCATGACAAGAAGAAATTAGACACCTGTCCTTGGAACTTTTAACCACATACTTGGTTTTGATCTGATATCTCAATAATCATCAATAAATCTCTAGGCTACAGCACAAAATTCTGTTTTGTCCTGTAATTTAAAAAGCATCTTACAACATATAGGCAAAATGCCAAGAAAAAGCCCAAAGTGGTCCTGGTTTGTTTGCCAGCTGGCTCTTTGGACTAAGTGGCCAGCTCCCAAAGAGCTGTCATTCAGTCACACGGGAAATAAAAGGAATTTCTTGCTTATTACACATACTTCTTACTATTGAAAAATTACCCTAAGAATACACTAATTGCTCCTATAAAACATAATTTCATTGCACCCAGCATCCATCTGGAAGCTCTGAGAAAGACAAATATAAAATTGCTGGAACAGGAATTTTGGATTTAATATGACTGTTGATACGTGGCTGTTAACCTTTTCTTATTGAAATTGTTTCTGTGGTGTATCCATTTTTAGTGAAAATAACTTGTTTTTATTTATGACCACTGTATAGTAAGTGGATAACTCTTTATATAATAGTGTGATATGCATAAAATATTGTACATATATAAACTATCCAGGCATTCAAAAATTATCTTGAAACCCACAATAAATCATTTATGCAACTATAATGGAAATTTTCTGGTCATTTTCATTAAGTTATTAATGTTGGTAGTATTTACAAACACATGATGTTTGCTTTTAAAAATAGGAGTTGAGATGAAACTGATGTAAGTGAAATATCAACTTTTAGTCACACTCACGTGTAAAAAAATGGAAACTATTGGGCAAACCTTTTCTGCCTACCACTATTTAAACAACTGTCATTCGAGTATTCATAGCAGGCTTTCCTAGAGAAAATATCCCCACTGGCCAGGGAATTAGCTCACTGGTATAAGCACCTGCCTGGCAAGTGCAAGGTTGTGAGTTCAATGTGGAGTACCAAAAAAAAAAAAAAAAAAAAAAAAAAAAAAAGGAAGAATAAGAAGAAACCATCTGGAACTTCGTATCCCTGTGTACTTTCCACTACATTCAACCTGAAGCTTAGTTCACAGTGGGTAAAATCTTGAGGTTATCTCTAATAATTACCACATGCACTAGAAACTACACTAGAATATAGCACCATAACACCCTCCTAGGGACACCCCGCCTCTTTTTGTGCTCAGCTGTCTTGGTAGAAGATTCACTTAACCCCGTGAGCTCTAAAGAAATCCAGCTCCAAAATTCCCACTTTATGCTAATTCTGCTGGTAAACTGTGGAAGAAGAAAAGCAGAGTGATTGGGAAGAATCTTGAATTTATAAGAAGAAATGATGTAGATTATGAAATTTCTAATGAAAAATTACAAACCCTGTGCACACGGGCCCATTTCATCTTTGGAAGCTGGTTACTGTTTGTGTACAGCTGGCTGTTACTCAGTCACTGTTCCCCTGTGAGGACCCCTTTGAAATTATCAGCCCTTCAGTTACTTCCTGTTTTATTGAAGTGTGACTTTCCCACTACTTAGCTGTGGAGTTCGGCTGAACAAAATGTAAGTGGCTCTGTTATTAACACTGACTGCAATGACATTTGACAAGTTACTCTGACCTGTCAAAATAATATCAGAAAACTTGCATTTGATTTCTTCCAAAGGAATTAAATCCCTAATTTGAAGAAACACTCCATTTGTATCTCCATCAGCTTTATGATTCATAACGGTGAGAGTTTTCAGCTATCATAGAAGGTCGACTCTGGAGGAGTCATTACATGCTGGAAATGAAACTTCCTGACCTGTTTAGATGAACCAGGCTCCGCACTACCATCCACACCGATATCTCCTACCTTCATTTCAGTAACTGCTGCTACTGTCCTCTGCTTACTGAAAGGAGAAGATAAAAAAATGTTATTCCGTGAGAGCGGCAAAATATCTATTTATCAAACTCAAATATAAACATCTACTTGAGGAGTAATTTCAATATAAACATATTTAGTAATAACTCTATTCCTGAATCATCTGGTATTTTATTAAAATATTTAGAGATGTGGATAGCACGATTTATTGACTTATTCACTTTTATTAGTGATATTTCCATATATAACAATTGAGAGGGAAAGAAAAAAGGATGTTGAAGGTTTCATAATAAGGACCAAATGTCGGAAAGATTCGTGAAGATTTTGTCCTGATGTGCTTTTTGAGTTGCTAACAGCCCACCAGTATTGATGGATATTGTCAGACAGGTGAAGTACTTCTCTTACAAGTAGGCTGTAATTTTCTGGGTTTTGGTATTTGTCACCTTTAGAGACATCAGTTACCTGTTATAATGGGATTCCAACCCCAAGATAAGGAAACTAATACATTCAATAAGAAAACTTGGAAAACATTACCTTGAATCATGTCTAATAACTTGATTACATTTTTTCTTTGATTTTCAAGTTCCTGGCGAGATTAGAAAATGAAAAATCGCTTGCACTGTGAAACTATCTTCCTTGAAAACTCTTCCTGTCATAAATTGTGCAGCTGTATGTAGATGCAAATGGAGCATTTCTGCAAACTAGGATCTCAGTTCCTTCACATTGCAACCCTGGCCAGTGCATGACCTGCAAAAATAGTCTTTTCTCAGAGTTTCCAGATCTGATGGCAGTGCAGTGTTAAGGTGGTACCCTGAATGTGTATTCTATAGGAATGCCTCAGTCAGCTGGGGATCCAGTCTCAAGCTCAAAAGGGAACTTAAACTCCCTTTGTTCAACTATCTGCCCTCATGCTTGAAGCATTCACAGAAAGACAGGCTGACTCTGGAGCTTTCGGTGTGGATTTTAATCCAACTCTCACCCGTGGTGTGAGCTGGTTACTTAAGCTGTTGGTGCACATATTTTATTTTCCTTATCTGTAAAATGGGAATGGTTATGATAGGGTCCCCATGTAGCATAATGATGAAGATTAAATGTCATACTAGATGAAAACACTTAGAACCATGTCTGGTACTCACTCTCCCTCCTTTCTTCCTATAGTAGTATCCAGTGAGAGGTGGACCTCACGGGAGTCCACAGTGCTGTTTCATTATCACAGTCTATTAATGATGCCTTTCTTCTGCTGTGCCCATGCCCGCATCTCTGAGCTTTCTTCTCCATGTCCTCATTCATCCCTGGACACCAGGCAGGAAAGATGTTTCGTCATAACTTCCCCTGGATTAGCTTCAAATGTGTGAATCCGGCATGAATTCCAAGACCAGATTTGTAAGCTACTTTGTTATAGGAATCAAAATGACATGAGACACCTACTAATCACAAAACTTTGATAAAGGAAAGTTTAAATAACCCGTTGTTTAAAAAATAATTTTATTCTAGTTTTTATAATCATGACATTTCCCAGAAATTATGTTATAAATTATTGCTAGATCTTCAATATGATTTCAGCCAGATTAAAAACATATCAA